TATGACTGCAGCCTTACAAGAGACCCTAAGACAAAAGACACGACTAAGCTGTGCCCAGATTTCTGACCCACAGAAACTATGAGATAATAAACATTGTTGTGTTAATCTGCTATGTTTTGTGGGTAATGTGTTATACAGTTACATAACTAATACGATATGCCATTCCCTTTAATACTGCAGAATATCAGCTACTATTGGGAAAATTCAGCTTAGTCATTTTAAAAACTTTCAAGGTCTGTTTCCTCGACTCCACAAAGCTTCATCTGTAACTTCAAAAATGTATACTGGTATCAAGCAGATAGCACCCAATAAAAGAAAATCCCATCTTTGGTCAAGGCCCAAATCCTGAAAATTTTGCACTCTAGTCCTGTATCTACCCAGCTCCTGAGCCTGTTTTTTGGCCCAACAAATGCCCCCAGATCAGATTTCAGTGTTTTTTCTAGCTTTGACCTTAGGTTTTCTCTTCCAACAAGGTTTTTTTGACCCTTCTCTCAAATAAATATACTTCTAGTTATTCCAAAATAACCACTCAGCTCCAAGAATTGGCTTTGGTTTTCAAAGTTTCTGATCCCACTGGACCTTACCAGTGGAGAGATAAATTATAAATGGAAGTAACAAACATTAATGCTTTTCAACCTTTTTTTTCCCACCTCCATTCCATTTATTTGCACAAATCTCTCTCACCCAAACAATTCTTATGATACTCAGTGATTTTCAACCATAGGGAGTTTACCCCTGACCATGGCTCTGTTACATTCTGGGAGAAAGAATCCATTAGTTTTTTTAAAGCCCCTTATGAACTTATATCCAATACCCACATGAGGCTTACCACGCTAGATAAGCTCTAAATTTTCCTACTCTAAATTTTTAGGACATGATGATTATAACAGAAATGCTCAGAAGAAGAAGATATTTAGAAGGCTTAGTGGAGTTACTGTCATACATTTCTGATACTCTCATATTTGATTTCATGGGTTAATTATGAAACATCAATTTAATAATGGTTTAGAAATGAAAGAATTATATAAGCTAAATAACATCTATGCTATTGAAAACTACATTTTTGTACAACTGAAATATTTACTTCAAAATAGTATGAAGACATCATTACAAACTAAATATGCCAGAAGTCAGAATTTGCCTGATTGGCCCAGAAAGTAGTACAACAATATGTAAGCATCTTCTGACACCTGGTGGTGAGTGGAGTATCCTACACTATTTAAAATTTCATATTGCACAGTATCTTCATGCTAAAGAGAAGGGATTCGGTAACTTTGTTACCAAGATTAGTTATTTTAAAATAGTATAAAGATGAGATGCCACATAACTTATAAGATTTTTCTTTGAATCTAAAAAAAAGGAAAAAAAATTTTATTTTTTAAGGGAAAAAAGTTCAAAGTCTGTTTAAAAGGCCTTGATATAGGCCCTAATAAAACCTTTCCATTCTAAAATTCCTTTATAATAATAAAGAGTTCCCCTCATGTCAAGTTGTTAAATGTCTGCATTTAATTAAACAACAAAGCATGACCACAAGATCTACCACAGTTAAATCATAAGACCAAGCATCCCTGTACCCATACCTGATAGAAGTGCCTACTCATAGGTGCACAATAAATCATTGTTGACTTGAAAAAAAAATCTACAAAACTACTACATATAACTAATTGCAGTATCTTCTTGCCTTCAAACTTTATACCACCCTTCAAACTTACACAGGCTCTTTGGTTTGTTTATTAACGTGATAGTTTCAAATACAGAAAGGGGCTACTGGTTATCTACACAGTAATTAACTATATAGCCTTTCAAAATACAGGGTAGGTGCCCTACCCTAGGTTGCACAGTCAAGGTTCTGATTCAGTAGCTCTGAGGTTTCGCCAATGCATGGGAATTCTGAAAAGATTCCTCTAGTGATTCTATTTCACATCCCTAGTTAGGAATGATTTTGCCCACTAAAACATTTAGCTTGTTTTACTTGAAGACATCCTATTAGAGTATACTAAGGGTATGCTAAGCAGAAGTAGAAAAAAAAACAATCTGCAATTCAAACTTTACCAAATTTTCATATATTGATGGTTTGAATACAAATTGGTTCAACTCTTATAGCATGAATTATAAACACACATATCCTTTGACCCAGCAGTCCACTTCTAGAAATTTGGTCTACAGATACACTCATAGTGCTTAAAATGACAAATGTTAAAGTTAGTCCTTGAATCTTTTTTTAAATGATTTATTTCCAGTTATAGTTGACACTCAATATAATTTTGTTAGTTTCAGGTGTACAGCATAGCAGTTAGACATTTATATAACTTACACAGTGATGCCCTCGATAGTCAAGGACCCACCTGGCACTATACATAGTTGTTGCAATATTATTGACTATATTCTCTATGCTGTATTTTACATCCCTGTGACTATTTTGTAACTCCCAATTTGTATTACTTAATCCCTTAACCTATTTCACCCAGTCCTCAAACGCCCCTCCCCTCTGGTTTATTCTCTATATTTATGAGTCTGTTTCTGTTTTGTTTGTTCTTTAGATTCCACATATAAGTGAGATCCTATGGTATTTGTCTTTCTCTGTCTCACTTATTTCACTTAGCATAATGTTCTCTAGGTCCATCGCCTGAATCTTTCTTTGTAGACAGCAAAAGACCAGCAAGAATTAGTACCCATTGGTATGTGACTGCTTAAGGAAAGGGTACAGAGAGTGGAACAGTACATGGGGAAAAGAAAGAATTAAATGAGTAAAGCACTTTATGCAATATGGAACAATCTCCAAAATATACTGTTAAGTAATTTTTAAAAAAGAAATTTGGCATTGAGTTGACAGACTATCAAGAAAACTATTTAATCTGTGAAACAGCTATGAGGACTGAAATATGAAACAGCAGGGTTGTCTTTAAGGAAATTGCATCACAATACTTCTATATATTAATGTACAGTAGAAAAGGGAGATAAGGCTACTGTAACTGCTTCTGATGGGTCTGGAAAGAGCCTTCCCTGCAGTCTCCCGCTTTAGAGTGACCAGCTGCAGCCTGTACCCTCTACTGTAAGAGCACCACATAGTACAAACCAGCAAAAGCACAGTGACTCTTTATGTATTTTCTACCTGAATCACTAAAGAGAGAGGTTTCTTTCATAGAGGCTATACAGTCTGACACCTAAAGCATCCTCTATTCCCTCTACTTAGCGGCTTGCATACATAGCTAGTAGCTACTCCGTTAATGCCATCTTTATGGAACGTCTCAGATCTAGCCCCAGAGGTTTTCAGGAATGAGAGAATAATACTAATGAAAGCAAAAATTAGTGTCTCTGCCCCATTCAGAATTTATCTGTGCGTAATCACACACCCCTATAGACTGCTATATAGGCAGTCTTGCTTTTAGAATGATACTTGCTTGCTTTGTATGATACATATCAATTTTTTGGCCATCAAGGAAACATGTCATGAATGAGAAGATAATTTACAAAGGAGATCTAAATTATAACAAAATATTAGCATAATGTAATATTAACAAAAGTAATAAAACAATATATTCTCATGATCCAATGAAAGCTATACTAGGAAATGTGATAAAAGCTTTTGAAATTCACAAGTATTCAAAAATATTCACAAGTATTAGTATTAATACTAATATTAATATTAGTAACTTAATATTAAGATATTAAGGAATAATATCTTAATTGGGAATAGAAATAATTAGGAATAATATTAGGAATAATAATTACTCTTATTAATACTAAATATTTGATTACTATTTTGTATTAAGCATACAATATTTAAATCTTTAGCTTTTGCAGCAATTGTTTTAAAATAATTTTCTGAAATTATTTCAGAAATAAAAGTGACATGAAGGGCATTCTGAAAATAATTTTCAGAAATTTATCTTAAAACTTCACATCCCTATGACATGGATACAATATTTCCTCTAAGAATCATTTAAAAAGGAGAAATGATTACTTCCTTGAAATGCTCATACATGTGAACATGCAAAAGTCCAGCTTCCAATAAACAAGTCTCAAATGTGTCACTTACCCAATGCCACTTATTGATACAGAAAGCTTAAAAGCCCTGTAGACAACCAGAACACACAAGTGGGTCTGCATTTTTTGCTTTCATATTTTAACACACTAATTTTCAATAGACTACAACATATAACATGGCCATCTCACTTATCCCATTTTTCAGTATATTACATGTGAATAGTTATACCGCTGCTTCAAAGGAATGTGGCTTTACTCCTTAATCTGGTTACAAACACTCTCTATAAATATATTTTCTGCTTTTCACTTGAACTTGGCAAAAATAAAGAAATGGTTTTTCAAAGTTAAATCATTATCCTTAATATATTTGGGAGGGAGAACTCAATAATGATTATGCCTATAACTATTACATTCAAAAATGAAGTTTCTTCATTTAAAATCATTTCATACTATAATCATAAATCAATTTTACCTCACAAAATAAATAGAATTATTTTAGGACTCAATTTTGTTTACAAGAAAATGAAAGTACACCAGTGACCTTTCAGCCTCAAAGGTCACTAACCAAATACAATTTACTTAAGATTTCCTACATAGAAATTAATGTCTTATTCGCACTCCTATTGCAGTCACTAGTTAGAAAAGAATTTCTTTGACCTGAAAGCATCAAGACTTTTCAATATTATGTTACTAAAGTATTCATATACTAATGATATTAGAAATTATATTTAATAATGATATTCCTAGTCAGTTTAGTATTATTTTAGGGTAGAAGATAAGGGCCTAGAGTAAAATACTGGGTTGCCGGAAAACTCATGGCGTATTTTTTCTATGTTTTTCATTGCAAAAATGCGTCATGATTTTTCTGACAACCCAATAGCAAGATGGTAGTTATGGAGGGATCACAACTACTTAAAAACTCATTTAAATATTTGCAGCTTAAACATTTAAAAGCTTAATTTTAGCTGAAAAATAAAATTGTTTTAATTCATAAAAGGATTTACTGTACTAACCCTGGAAGAGCTGAATGAATCGAGGATGTAAGGCTGAGGTGATCACGCTCTCTGGCAGCTCCCTCAGGAAGAGCTTTAACAGACTGGCTGCTGAGCAGACATCCCCGTCTTTCCCAAGCTCCACCGGCACTCCACTCTCGAACTTCAATCGAAGTTGTTCCACCACCTTCATATTGCCATTCACCCTAAAAAGGCCTTCCTGGGTGAGTCCTGTAACAATAAAGTAGACACACAGAAAATAAACAGAGGTTTCTCAGAGACGCAAACTCGAAAGAGTAACAAAAATTAAATCTCAGTACAGGATTTTCTGAATATTATAATAACCAAGCATTGAAAGATTTTCCCATTTTATAAAAATGTTTTCTTGGAATAATAAATTTTCATGTCTATCACGTATCAACTAAAAAGATCACATATACTGTTCGAAGGCCTGAATCATTTTGACTTTGGGGAAGAGCCAGAAGTCGCAGGGTGCCAGGTCCAGTGAATAAGGTGGATGAGGACACACCGTAATGTTTTTATTTGACTGAAATTGCCATATACCTGAAGTGATGTGTGACACCATATTAAGAATTAAGAATACCATATTAAAGAGTATGGCCAGGGTACCATGTAATCTCAGAGGAAATACCAGTCACTATGTGTTTGGTAGGCAGTTTCTCAAATGGCCCCAATGATCCCTGACTTGGTATCCACACCTACGTGTAATACTTTCCCCTTGAGTGTGGACTGGACCTAGTGACCTGCTTCTAATCAACGGAATGTAGCAAAACAATGTGATTAAATTCTAATCTCACTTCTGGGATTAGGTTATAAAAGACTAATGTCCATCTTGCTTGCTTGTGTTGTCTTCCTCTTTCTCTCCCTTTAGCTCTTCGTACTTGCTAACGCTGATGAATCAGCTGCTATTTATTTTGTTAGCAGCCTTAAGAAGAGGTGGCACGTGGCAAGGAACTGAGGGCAGTTTCTGGACAACTGCCAGTGAGTAACTAAAACCTTCAGATCAACAGCCCACAAGGAAATGAATCCTGCCAACAACCACGTGGATGAGCTTAGAGATGAACCTTTCCCCAGTCAAGTTCTAATATGACTGCAGCCTTACAAGAGACCCTAAGACAAAAGACACGACTAAGCTGTGCCCAGATTTCTGACCCACAGAAACTATGAGATAATAAACATTGTTGTGTTAATCTGCTATGTTTTGTGGGTAATGTGTTATACAGTTACATAACTAATACGATATGCCATTCCCTTTAATACTGCAGAATATCAGCTACTATTGGGAAAATTCAGCTTAGTCATTTTAAAAACTTTCAAGGTCTGTTTCCTCGACTCCACAAAGCTTCATCTGTAACTTCAAAAATGTATACTGGTATCAAGCAGATAGCACCCAATAAAAGAAAATCCCATCTTTGGTCAAGGCCCAAATCCTGAAAATTTTGCACTCTAGTCCTGTATCTACCCAGCTCCTGAGCCTGTTTTTTGGCCCAACAAATGCCCCCAGATCAGATTTCAGTGTTTTTTCTAGCTTTGACCTTAGGTTTTCTCTTCCAACAAGGTTTTTTTGACCCTTCTCTCAAATAAATATACTTCTAGTTATTCCAAAATAACCACTCAGCTCCAAGAATTGGCTTTGGTTTTCAAAGTTTCTGATCCCACTGGACCTTACCAGTGGAGAGATAAATTATAAATGGAAGTAACAAACATTAATGCTTTTCAACCTTTTTTTTCCCACCTCCATTCCATTTATTTGCACAAATCTCTCTCACCCAAACAATTCTTATGATACTCAGTGATTTTCAACCATAGGGAGTTTACCCCTGACCATGGCTCTGTTACATTCTGGGAGAAAGAATCCATTAGTTTTTTTAAAGCCCCTTATGAACTTATATCCAATACCCACATGAGGCTTACCACGCTAGATAAGCTCTAAATTTTCCTACTCTAAATTTTTAGGACATGATGATTATAACAGAAATGCTCAGAAGAAGAAGATATTTAGAAGGCTTAGTGGAGTTACTGTCATACATTTCTGATACTCTCATATTTGATTTCATGGGTTAATTATGAAACATCAATTTAATAATGGTTTAGAAATGAAAGAATTATATAAGCTAAATAACATCTATGCTATTGAAAACTACATTTTTGTACAACTGAAATATTTACTTCAAAATAGTATGAAGACATCATTACAAACTAAATATGCCAGAAGTCAGAATTTGCCTGATTGGCCCAGAAAGTAGTACAACAATATGTAAGCATCTTCTGACACCTGGTGGTGAGTGGAGTATCCTACACTATTTAAAATTTCATATTGCACAGTATCTTCATGCTAAAGAGAAGGGATTCGGTAACTTTGTTACCAAGATTAATTATTTTAAAATAGTATAAAGATGAGATGCCACATAACTTATAAGATTTTTCTTTGAATCTAAAAAAAAGGAAAAAAAATTTTATTTTTTAAGGGAAAAAAGTTCAAAGTCTGTTTAAAAGGCCTTGATATAGGCCCTAATAAAACCTTTCCATTCTAAAATTCCTTTATAATAATAAAGAGTTCCCCTCATGTCAAGTTGTTAAATGTCTGCATTTAATTAAACAACAAAGCATGACCACAAGATCTACCACAGTTAAATCATAAGACCAAGCATCCCTGTACCCATACCTGATAGAAGTGCCTACTCATAGGTGCACAATAAATCATTGTTGACTTGAAAAAAAAATCTACAAAACTACTACATATAACTAATTGCAGTATCTTCTTGCCTTCAAACTTTATACCACCCTTCAAACTTACACAGGCTCTTTGGTTTGTTTATTAACGTGATAGTTTCAAATACAGAAAGGGGCTACTGGTTATCTACACAGTAATTAACTATATAGCCTTTCAAAATACAGGGTAGGTGCCCTACCCTAGGTTGCACAGTCAAGGTTCTGATTCAGTAGCTCTGAGGTTTCGCCAATGCATGGGAATTCTGAAAAGATTCCTCTAGTGATTCTATTTCACATCCCTAGTTAGGAATGATTTTGCCCACTAAAACATTTAGCTTGTTTTACTTGAAGACATCCTATTAGAGTATACTAAGGGTATGCTAAGCAGAAGTAGAAAAAAAAACAATCTGCAATTCAAACTTTACTAAATTTTCATATATTGATGGTTTGAATACAAATTGGTTCAACTCTTATAGCATGAATTATAAACACACATATCCTTTGACCCAGCAGTCCACTTCTAGAAATTTGGTCTACAGATACACTCATAGTGCTTAAAATGACAAATGTTAAAGTTAGTCCTTGAATCTTTTTTTAAATGATTTATTTCCAGTTATAGTTGACACTCAATATAATTTTGTTAGTTTCAGGTGTACAGCATAGCAGTTAGACATTTATATAACTTACACAGTGATGCCCTCGATAGTCAAGGACCCACCTGGCACTATACATAGTTGTTGCAATATTATTGACTATATTCTCTATGCTGTATTTTACATCCCTGTGACTATTTTGTAACTCCCAATTTGTATTACTTAATCCCTTAACCTATTTCACCCAGTCCTCAAACGCCCCTCCCCTCTGGTTTATTCTCTATATTTATGAGTCTGTTTCTGTTTTGTTTGTTCTTTAGATTCCACATATAAGTGAGATCCTATGGTATTTGTCTTTCTCTGTCTCACTTATTTCACTTAGCATAATGTTCTCTAGGTCCATCGCCTGAATCTTTCTTTGTAGACAGCAAAAGACCAGCAAGAATTAGTACCCATTGGTATGTGACTGCTTAAGGAAAGGGTACAGAGAGTGGAACAGTACATGGGGAAAAGAAAGAATTAAATGAGTAAAGCACTTTATGCAATATGGAACAATCTCCAAAATATACTGTTAAGTAATTTTTAAAAAAGATTCATAACAGTGTACATGGTATGCTATGTTTATGTTAAAATGGAAAAAGAACATAAATATATATGCCTGTATATTCAGCAAATATCTTTGTCATAACATATCAGAAACTAGTATAGTAATATTGTTTCTGAGAGAGAAAATGAATGGTCAGGGTACAGGGTTTGGAGAGAGAGGCTTTTCACTGTATATCTTCCTATATTTTGAATCACATAAGTATATTAACTATTCAATAATTTTTAAAAATTAAAAATGCTAAATGTTTTTACATAAGCATAACCTCAAGAAGCTATTATTCAATTATTCTTGGGAAAAAGATCAGAACTGATTATGCCAAAACCAAAGTATTATTTTAGGTGGTCACATTTTGACATCCAAATGAATAATATAGGACAAACCTATTTCACAGATTAAATGAATTACCTAGAGATCCATGTGCATCTAAATCAGTAGGATACAGTTTTACTCAATACTGATTGTGTAAATGAGCTCTGTCAAAGCCCTCACATTATGGCTTCAAGATCTTGTTGGTCAAGGTCCCATCTTCCTGCCATGCTGTGTTTAACGCTTTTTGTGTTTAATTGTTTAAGAAATTTAAACAACTCCAGAGCTGTTCTAAAAGAATCTCACCCTTCTGCAACTATCTTCCTCTAAAAATAGGGAGGTAACTCCTGCGAGGTAAAAAATGCAAGCTTGGCTCTACAGTTTTCACAACAAAACATCATTTTGTCATCTACATACCTAGTAACCAGAGCAAACAGCTGGTTTTGTTTGTTTGTTTGTTTTTTTAGCTGAGCCATCCTGCTACCTGTTGGCAGCTCAGCGGCTGCTCAGCTCAGGCTGGACTCGAACCACTGTTGCTCAGAGCTCAAACTCTTGAGCGAGCTCTTAACCAACTGAGCCACTCGGCTGGCCCTACAGCTGTTTTTCAATTAACACAAAACACCTGATCTTCTGAGGTCTGAACTGTCTGCCACACAATCCCTGTCACAAGTTGATACACGTTCCTATAGATAGAGGAACAAATGCACAGTGCTTCTCAAGCATTTCCAATGAAGGAGTCTTCTTGGTAGGGGGAATGGACTTGTAACGTGGGAAGGTAGGGACCTGAAGCAAAGTGCACAAAGTAGAGAACTTCTTTGAAGTGCCAAGCTTTACCTTTAAAAATCCCCACACACTTTATAATCCACTTTGAATGTGTCTTGTTTTAGTATAGAAATGCTGTTTCAAGTATAGAAAATGATAAAAATTCCAAGCTTTTCATCAGAAAATTTCCTGCCCAAATCTTTTAATGTCTATTGATATTTATTATATAGTTTAGCATTCTCTCATCATACTGCCCTAGTTTGAAACCATGAACATAGGGGGTATGGAGGCATTCTCTCAAATTATCGAGGTTTTAAATTCCTATTTTAAATAAAATTATAAAAAAGCTGTAAGGCAACAGAGTTTGCAATACTGAAGAGAGATTTTTTTATCATGCAATGGACGGTTACTCTCTAATTATTTAACATGCTTAATTTTATCAAGAGTAAATGACACCCACCTTCATAGCAGGATATATATCACTTTTTTTGGTATCCCCACTGAGCTTATGAAGGCAATCAAGCCACCCAACAAGTTCATAATGGACCTCAGCTGAGATACTCAAAAAGTGTAGTACTATTACATTAAAAATTCTTGACTATCCGTTGGAATGGAATGACTCAAGAGAATTCACTATGAATATGAGAATAGCGTATTTTAACACCTAAAACTAGGAATCATTTCAAACTGAAAACCTCAGTAATTAAAGTGATTGCTCCATGGTAAATTAAATTAGTGTTGTCAAAGTAACATTAAGCAGTAAATTAATGCTCTTAATGTTCTTTTAAAAAGGAAAAGTACATTATGCAGTAACTTGATATTCTAATTAAGATGTTTTAGAATATTCTAATGATAGGTTATGAAGTGATTCACATGAAAACATTCTCCTTGTAGAACAGAACTGTGAAAATAACAGTGAAAACAAAACTTGACTTACCATGCTTGGTCAAGTACTCCACTATACTCCCCACAACAGCTGGAACGCCATTCTCAGTGAGGCCCTGCCGTTGAAGGTCTTGGAGACTGACTCCAAATAACTTTTTATAGGTAGGATTCCTCTGCTCATTTAGTGGCACTGCCACTATCTTTTTCATGTCTTCTTTCAGCCGAACTGTTGCTTTACTTTGCTTAAAAGAGCGTAAGAAAAAGGAGCAGTCAGTCATATTTACCACAGGAGGTTGCATGGCTACAACAGAATCACCTGGATTAAAATGTGTTTGAAGACACCGAGTAGTGGTCTTCACTTATTTTTTTACTTCAACTCAAAACATCAAACCTCTCTCACATGTTGCTCTGTGTTACCAATTGCACACACTGATACCACGGTGAAAAGGAGTGAAAAACAATGAGAAACCTAAAGCCACAACTTAGCTGTAGCTAAGAGAGGGAGCAATGCACTGAGTATCTAAGATATATTACTACAGTAACCAAGGGGTGTGACTCAGAAGTACCTGGTTAACAGGGAAATAAAACATTCATAAGAACACTGAAATTCCCTGCAGATTCTGAAAAAATAAAAGGTTTCTCAAGATGAAAACGTATTTTAAGGTAGCTTTAATTTGAAATGTTAGGAAAAAATACATATAAAAGTAGAGTGAACATTTATTTCTCTGACTTGATTACATCTGTGAATTTCTTTTTTTATAAAATGTTTCACAATTTTATTACAAAAGCAATACATGATCACTGAAGAAAAATTAGAAAGTGAATACAAAAATAAATAAACATCCTTATTTCTACCACCCAGAGATTAGCAGGTAACAATTTGATGACGATCTTCCCAACATCTGTGAATTTCTCAGTAATGTTTGGGGGCACATAAAAGCAACTCAATTCTCTTTGAGGTTCAAAATGCCACATCTCTGATTGAAAGAGCGACATTTCATGTATTCGCAATTTAAAAAGTTTCAACAAGACTGTACATATTACAAATAGAAAATGCAACTTACAAAAATAAAGAAAAAAAAAGAAAATGCAACTTACATTCAATTAATTCAAGTTATCAACACAATGAAAAATCCAAACAAATTTCCTTCTTTTAGCAGAAATTTGTCCCCTAAGAAGTATTATAAAAGATAAATTTCAATATGGTTTAACATAACTAAATGACGGTTTTTTTAAAAAGCATTTGTTGGGCCAGCCGAGTGGCTCAGTTGGTTAAGAGCTTGCTCAAGAGTGCGAGCTGGGAGCAACGGGTTTGATTCCCACATAGGCCAGTGAGCTGCACCTGAGCTGAGCTGCCATTGAGCCGCCAACAAGTGGCAGGATGACTCAGCTGGTGAGAGCACATGCTCCTAATCACAAGGCTGCCTGCTAGAGATGGTGGGCTATGCCCATTTGCAACTAAAGACTGAACGTGGCACCTTGAGCTAAGGTGCTGCCTGGGTGCCTCCAGGGATAGAGTACATGCTTTTAACAAGACTGCTGGTTCGACTCCCACATGGGATGGTGGCTACACCCACCCGCAACTAATTGAACACAGCACCTTGAGCTGAGCGGCATGACTGGACCTGGAGCTGAGCTTGCTGCGCTCTCCACAACTAAGATTGAAGGACAACAACTTGCCTGTTCCCCTTCCCCAATTCCCCAACACTGTTCCCCTCTCCCAATTCCCCAATAAAATTAAAAACAAAAAGCAAAAAACATTTGTCCTATATAAATGTTATGTATCTGTAAGTCTAAACACTGAAAAGAAAGATGACAAAATGTAAAATGTGAACAATTTGAGGACAGAGGTAGCAGACTGGGTGAAAATCACTTTTTAATTAAAGAATGAATATAGTAACTGACCAAAGTATAAATATTGTAAGTGCAAGCTCATGTAGCTGTTACAATCTAAATGTAGAAATATTACTTTCATTTTAGAGCTGAGGAAACAAAGATCAGAATGGAAATTTGGTAAAAGTCACAGAACTAGTAAGAAGAGGATTTCATTTGTTCTAAGTCCATGTTCCTCTCTTTAATTTAGATTTATATTAATGCTATAGTGCAGTTTGTACATAATTGTAACAAATTATGACAAATGCTATATGTGACCCAAGACAATTACACAATGTTAATTTCACAATCTTGATTTTGAGTAGCATCCCTATAATCTCAATTTGATTTTGAATTTTTAATCTACATAATCAGACCAACTTTCATTAAGATATTTGCATTTTCAATAGGTAATATTTGAAAGCCAGACTACCTAGTGAAAATTCAGCAAATGTAAAGTTACAATATAGATTTAGTATCTATTAATATTATAGATAAGGCAGAGTGTTACTTACTATAGAGTAGTAGTATGGGCAAGAACTATGATTGCTGTTACCAAGGAAATTATGAATTTATTAATTAAGTTAAATTTGTAACATCTAATGACTTTTTTTTCTGGTGGGGTTAAAAATAACTAATTTCCTTCAACTGAACACATGGGAAATTTCAGTCAACCAGGTATATCTGGAAGGTAAGCAGCCAAAAAGTATCTAGTATTAATGAAACTTTGAAAATAGTCTCAAATGTAGCATTAAAAACAGCTACAATATGAGCTTAAATTATACAAATTTTATCTTTTATTTTATCTTCTTACAGAGACAATACAGCAGAATGATTTAGTGCATGGCTCGTGGAACCAAGCTCCTGTTTTGAATCCCATTCTGATGCAATTAGCTGTGAACCTTGGACAAGTCACTTAACTAGTATGCCTGTTTCCCCATCTATGAAATGGGGATACTAAGAATTCCTATCTCATAGGAATATGAGACTGAAATGAGTTCATAACGGAATGAGAACAGAGCCTGGCATGCTCAGTAAGTACTGACTTATAATCATCATCATCATCATCATCATCATTATCATCATTCTTTTTCTTCTACAACACTATTATGATATCTTCTTTAAAAAAATGGAGAGAGCGAGTTGAGTGGTTCATTTGGTTAAGAGTGCGAGCTCTGAGCAACAGGATCACTGGTTCGATTCCCACATGGGCCAGTGAGCTACGCCTGAGCTGAGCTGCCGCTGAGTTGCCAACAGGTGGCAGGATGGCTCAGCTGGTGAGAGCACATGCTCCTAACAACAAGGTTGCCGGTTCACCTCCTGCATGGGATGGTGGGCTATGGCCACCCACAACTAAGATTGAACACAGCACCTTGAGCTGATTGGCTGCAAGCTGCCGAATGGTGGCCGGATCGGGACTGTCCTTGGAGCTAAGCTATCTGCGTCCTCCACAACTAAGACTGAAGGACAAAAACTTAGCTGTTCCCCTCCCCCAATTCCCTAATAAAATCCTTTTTTAAAAAAAAATGGAGAGATACTTAACCATTCGTGTTGCCTTACAGCTATGTCCATGATCGCCCCCCCCCTGCCCCCGCACTAACCCCTGACCCGAAAGGTCCTGAGGAAGTGTCTCGGAATGACGGAGACCCAGTGGAATGATATCGGTAAAGCTTCCTCTAGGGCAGCGGTTCTCAACCTTTCACAGGGGAAAACACATATTTTCTATGGTCTTAGGAACCGAGACACCGCTCCTCTATCCGTCTCCAGGCCCACATGCAGATACGCCCACATATGAGTACCCGGCGACCCCTGTGAAAGGGTCGTTTGACCCCCAAAGGGGTCACGACCCACAGGTTGAGAACCGTTGCTCTAGGGAGTGTCTCGGATCGACTGAGACCCGGTGGAATGATATCGGTCATCTCCCTTATTTGGAAGGACGAGGTAGAGCAACGCTGTCCTAGGGGTTGTACAGGCTGTATGAAGGCATCGTACATGTTGGAGTACAGTGGGAGCTGGTTAATGGAAAACAGCCTTAAGGCACGTGACACACGGGTCTTTGAGTAATCCAGTTTCACTTCCTTGAAATTTTCTCAGTAAAAGCCATGCAACGACCCGATTCGGGACTCAGTCCACGAGGCTGATGCCCCCTGGTCCCGCGTTAGCCTTATCTCTGCCTCTTCAGCTCTTTCACTCTGTGTTGCCCCCTCCCTCTCGTTTCCCACTGCCCTTGCCACGCAGGACGTGACACATTCGTACACTCAATGTCTGTGTGGACTACAGGCTGCTGTTTAAGATGGCATCATGGTCAAGACATGTTTAGATAGTAGATAGTCTGATGACCTAACCATACAGCTAAAATGATAAAGATAAAATAACTTTGTATTTAAGTATCAGAATTCCTCACGTTTTTATTAGAAACCCTGTCTATATTGGAGTGTAAAACCTTGAGTCAATGTTCTTGGCATTAATAGTTGCTGCTCTGCATTCTGTCACATAGTCGGAGTTGCAGACAATAAGTGGTGCCTCCTGTTAATAGTATAAATAAGCAATCCTGGCATTATGGCTTAGAGAGTTTCCAAGAGACATGCAATTAACCTCACACATTTTGGAGTGACTGCAAATTAAACTACCTGTTGACTCAATCTACAGCCATACTACACAGCAAATTTATACGTAATCATAATAATAAAGGGACATATGATTATTGTTTTTAATTGGTAATCTAATTCAGGTTAATACTTTTGAAAATGTAAATATTGTTTTTACACCACCACAATGAAACAAAACAGCTATAGTTCCAGAGACATCTGAATCAATCCTTCAGTGGCCAAAAATACCTATTATAAAATTTTGCTCATCTACCCGCTTGGTCAAGGAGTCGGCTAACAGGCCACGATATTGAGATGCTGTTAGTAGTTTAAACCTAAACTATAATACTACTCAGTAGTTTATACCTAAAGTATTAAAAAATATACCAAACCTTAGAACAAATATAAAATATCTTTTCTGGTAAGTAATAAATATTCCATAGTCCCTTAGTCATGAAAAAAATAATTGTGGAAATGAAAAGTTATTTATGATTAATTCCATTTAAACTGAAAATTTTTTTTATTCTTATACAATGATTAAATCACTACCTCTTTATAAACGTCAATATCTATGGAATTTTAGCTTCTCATCAAATATACATCGTACCTTTCTTGACATAATATAAGCTAAAAAATCACAACAGTTACTAATTGTGGTATTCTGAAGCAAACTTAACTGTTTAACTTAGGTTTGCATATTTTCTCACACATCACTTGAGTTTGAAAACTGGACTATATGGGTGTTTGGGTACATGTGTAAAAGCAACATAGGTTCCCACATT